TGATACTTTGGAATAATAATATATATAAGATTTTTAAGATAGTGGGAAATCTTAAAGTGTATTACTTCTTTATTGTAGCGATTTAAGATGAAAATTATTGCTTTTCAAAATCAACATATAGCTTTACTTTGCTTAAAATTTATTTTAAATTAATTTAGAATAAGAAAAATAAAAAAACATTAAAAACCTTAGAAAAGTATAATTCAAGAAATTATTATGACTACCAAGATACGGTTTAAGTAATATTAATGAAAAATAAATATTATTCAATAATAAATTATAATTATTAATAAATTATGGGATAAAAATCATAAATTTGAAAGATTTCATAATATTGTTGTCTTCTTTTTTTTTAGGTTGTACTAAAAATCCGATTTAAAAATTAAAATGCTTACTGAATTTTCAGGGATTTCTAAATAGCTAATTTGTAATATGATAATTCTCCATAAAATCTACAAATTTAATCTATTATGATATGCAAAATCTGATTGCCAAAAGCAATTAGTTGAGAATATAAGAAGAATTAAAATTACCTTTGTATTATAAAGAAATTGATATTTTGGATTAAATTGCTCTACTTTTTGGATTTGATATGTATATCTCAATCCTATAATAACAGCCATTACTTTTTTTAACTTCTTTCGACCTCTTAATTAAATATTACAGTAAAATTAATCTATTTAAATTTTTTTCAATATTGCTGGATAGAATTTGAAGTCTAATTAACTTAATATAACTTACAATTTTATAAATTTGTTATTTCAAACTTAAAAAACCTGTGATCAAAATATGGTTCTGTTTCTCCACATTCATAATTACAAACTTATTATTAAAATACTCGACCAAAGACTTTTTGTATGCATGCAATATAATCTTATGGACACTGTTTCTAGGCATAGGCTTCATCAAATTCTGAAGTTGTTGGAATTAAATCTAACAAAATAATAAACCTTATTTAATTGTTATACTTACTAAGAATATAAGAGGTTAATCAATTTATAAAATATTACTTATTAATAGTTAACTTTTTTAATAATGAAATTAATAATGACTTTCATCACCATTATTCAATATATAACTAAATGAAACTTCTCTTATTCTTGTTCATTAAAAAATTAAAGTTAATTATTTGGTGAAAATTTGTGATTAATTAATAATGTTATAATTTTATACATCATTCTTTTGAAAATTAATACAATAACAATTGTTTGTTTGTCAGTTATAAAAGATGAAGAAATGTAAATTTTAATTAGATGTAAATGAATAACAATTAGGTAAATATTCGAATTAAAGAAAACAAAAGAATAATGTAACTTCAAATTTATATACTTTGAAATTCAAAATTTTAAGTTTATGAAATACCAGATGGTAATCAATACTAAAGAGTTTGTCAAATCAGAAGATGAAATTAAAAAAAGATTTCAATTATTTATGTTAAATAGCAAAGACATACGAAAATTAGAAAATATTATTAAAATGAAAAGATTAATCATTTCATCCGATATATTGATTAATGAACAATTTAATTTATTTATGAAATATCTTTACATTAATGTTGATTACATTCAAGGAATAGATAATTTTGTAACGAAATGCATTGCTGCTTTTGAATCCAATCCTAAAGACTTTAATGATTTTTGACGAATGATTTGGATAAATTAGGTTAGAGCTATAATTATGTTTCTTTAATAGAATGAACATATTTGAGTTAATATATTAGATGGGATTTTAAAGAATAGTGTAATATCAAAATGATGAAATTTTTAATTTGAATCACATTTAACAAATTATAATCATTTTTAAAGAAAATATATAAAGTCCAAAAAGTATTATTCAATAAAGGAATAGAATCCTCAAGATTTTAGGATGGTCATGCATCAACTTAATATCCTTTTTTTAACCCTGGTTCTAATACCTTGCAATAAAATAAATTAGCAAGAGTGCTAATCAATTAAAAATGTTTAAGAGGAGATTTTGGTGTTCTTACTCAAACTGATAAGGTTATTATAGGACTTAGAGTTCCTGATTGGTGGTTATGGAGAATTAGAGATAACTATATGAGTATATAGTTTTGAATTACGATAAATTCTTAGTTCATCATTATCCTGATGATGATTATAATCCTTTAATAAAGGTAATTTTGATAACAATAGAATTAAATTTTAGTCTTATATAATTATGAAAATGGCCTTATCTATAGAATTAACAAAAACACTCTGATAAACTTTATGAGTTTTGAAAAATAGTTGAAATTTACTCATATCTTCAGATAATTAAAATAAATTATAGTTATAAAAGTATTATTATCAAAAATGGCATCTAAAATAAAAGATTTAACTATGGAATATTGAGCTATATCATTGACTTTTTCATCCATACCATATTTTCAATTTTATTTACTCAGCTTTATTGGAGAATTAATTAAATTAAATTTCAATCAATCAAAAGGAATTATTAAATATAGAGATGGTTTCTATAATCCTATTTAAATTACTTTAAAAATATGCTGTTTTAAATAAATAGTGATTTGTAAATTCTTCAAATTCAAACTTAATAAATTAAATTTAACTCCTTTATAATATTTTATTTAAAGTGATCATTCAAAGATATCTTCAATTAATAAAAATAACTTAATGATCTCAATTTACCATCATCTTAATTATAAATCAGAAATAACATTTGAAAAATTTCATTACTTTAAATTTGAAACTTGACTGAACCAAACTTTGATGTGGAATATAAAAATAATGAAAAGTGAGAAAATAATATTCAATGAAACATAACTTATTGCTTAATATTATGTAGAGAGATTCAATATTTATATATATCAGTTCTATTTTAAACAAGAATCATTCTTATTAAAAATATTTATTTATTTTTGAGAACTTTTGAATTGTTCAATTGTCTTTTCTTTTTTTTTAATTTAAATTATTTAGATTTAACATAAATTTATACAAGAAAACAAAAATTTCAGTTTATATTGTAGATAACTAAAATAAAGGAAAAATCTTAAANTAATATCAAAATGATGAAATTTTTAATTTGAATCACATTTAACAAATTATAATCATTTTTAAAGAAAATATATAAAGTCCAAAAAGTATTATTCAATAAAGGAATAGAATCCTCAAGATTTTAGGATGGTCATGCATCAACTTAATATCCTTTTTTTAACCCTGGTTCTAATACCTTGCAATAAAATAAATTAGCAAGAGTGCTAATCAATTAAAAATGTTTAAGAGGAGATTTTGGTGTTCTTACTCAAACTGATAAGGTTATTATAGGACTTAGAGTTCCTGATTGGTGGTTATGGAGAATTAGAGATAACTATATGAGTATATAGTTTTGAATTACGATAAATTCTTAGTTCATCATTATCCTGATGATGATTATAATCCTTTAATAAAGGTAATTTTGATAACAATAGAATTAAATTTTAGTCTTATATAATTATGAAAATGGCCTTATCTATAGAATTAACAAAAACACTCTGATAAACTTTATGAGTTTTGAAAAATAGTTGAAATTTACTCATATCTTCAGATAATTAAAATAAATTATAGTTATAAAAGTATTATTATCAAAAATGGCATCTAAAATAAAAGATTTAACTATGGAATATTGAGCTATATCATTGACTTTTTCATCCATACCATATTTTCAATTTTATTTACTCAGCTTTATTGGAGAATTAATTAAATTAAATTTCAATCAATCAAAAGGAATTATTAAATATAGAGATGGTTTCTATAATCCTATTTAAATTACTTTAAAAATATGCTGTTTTAAATAAATAGTGATTTGTAAATTCTTCAAATTCAAACTTAATAAATTAAATTTAACTCCTTTATAATATTTTATTTAAAGTGATCATTCAAAGATATCTTCAATTAATAAAAATAACTTAATGATCTCAATTTACCATCATCTTAATTATAAATCAGAAATAACATTTGAAAAATTTCATTACTTTAAATTTGAAACTTGACTGAACCAAACTTTGATGTGGAATATAAAAATAATGAAAAGTGAGAAAATAATATTCAATGAAACATAACTTATTGCTTAATATTATGTAGAGAGATTCAATATTTATATATATCAGTTCTATTTTAAACAAGAATCATTCTTATTAAAAATATTTATTTATTTTTGAGAACTTTTGAATTGTTCAATTGTCTTTTCTTTTTTTTTAATTTAAATTATTTAGATTTAACATAAATTTATACAAGAAAACAAAAATTTCAGTTTATATTGTAGATAACTAAAATAAAGGAAAAATCTTAAAATGTCATTTTTCTTTTATTTCCTATCCTGATTAATAATCTATACATTAAATACCACTCTTATAAATCTCAAGAAAATTTTATGACCATCTGTTTTACAAAGCAAATAAATAAAACTTTAGTATAACATGTCAGGATCTCTCTTGAATTCTTCCTTATGTGTGATCTTAATCATTCATTTCTTATCAGTTTCTCTTCAACCAAAAAAAATTATTTTAAAAACAATTGATTTTCTGTATGGTAAATATGTAATTGAAGATCGGTAAAATTAGTTTAGATATTATTATAATTTATTTTATTATCATAAAAATATAAGTCTATAAATTATCAAATCCTTCACTTTTTTTACTTTTAGAATTACTTTTAAACTGGTTGGTTAATTGAAGATAATATTTAAGTATTGATTATATCAGTAGTAAGGTAGTTTATTAAATAAGCTAACTAAATCAATAAATTATCTGATAAAAAAATTTTGAATTTCAATAAGACCTAAATTCTATAGAATTGAAATCAATTATAATTAAAAAGATAGCTAACTTATTTGAAACATCAAGAAATCTGCACTCTATAATTCAATTTATCTCAAAAAAATCCTCAATCATTTATAGCAATAGATCTAAACAAAATAAAACATATCTTTCTAGAGATACAATAAAATGTGAGGCATATATATACTTAAAAAATGTTGTTGATATGAACTTATAAATATATATTTCATTGTTCTTAATATCTTCTAATTTGTATTTATTTTGATTTTTCATCCCAAGTAACCAAATACTGTCCATCATCACTCATAGCTCCATATATACGATTAGTTCCAAAATGTATAGAATATTGAGTTAATAAGTCTCCATTTTATTTTTTCCTAATGATATTGACATATTCACCATTCTTACTCACAAGCATAAATTTTGCATTTATATATTATTAAGGAAATAGACAAGTAAAATCTGATCCACATTTAACAGTAATATCTTTAGTCTTGGTAAATTAATTATTCATCTCATAAACACACATCTATTCTTTACCATATGGTTAGAATGTGAACATATTATCATCAATAAAGCATACTCTGTATCCATACTATTCAACTTTGATCTTTTATTTTACAATCCATTCTTTATTTTATTCTGATTGTTCTATTATTAATATTAAACCATTATAACTACAAGATACTAATCTATTTTATTATTAATTAAAACTTAATTAATATACTTCATCATTATGATCCATAATTGTTTACTAACATATCCATTCATTTTTCTTCATCCAAAATTTAATACTTTTATCTGTACTTCCTGATACAATTAGATCATTTGATTAAAGTGTTTATGATTTTTGAATGTTAACTTGAGTACTTAGCTATTACAAGTCTTAATTTTTTTGTTATAAATTCTATTCTTAAGATTTTTAATCGATGTTTTATTGAAGGTGTTCAATTTATTTTTTGTGTATTTAATTAAATATAATTCCTGAATTTATACTTAATTCTTAATTTTAGTTTAGATTAAAGGTTAGATGTCTTAATACAATTATGATGCAAAGTTTTAAATTTATAATGTTTTCGTTAAAGGCAATTCAATCTAAGAGGTTTCAAGAAATCTATGAGAAACAATATTTAATGAATCAGAAGTCTCATTAAGAAGTGTATCCAGATAAGCATCTATATTGTTGAATGAAGACTATAATATGTTTTAATTTATTATATTACTTCAAATTAATTTTATATTTTTAAAAAGCATTCTTCTATTTTTCTTTAACAAGCTTCATTTATAATTCTAACTTATTTCTCCATTTTGTTCCTATTTCTATTAAATTTATTAATCATAAAAAATCATAATATTTTTTATTTTTATATTAGGAAATTAAAGTAAGAATAACCAAAATATAATATTTTAATTTTATTTATTATGCCACAGGTAAGTCATTTAGAAAATAGAATGCTTGAGTTAATCTTAAATGATTTAAACTTAATGAAGAAGTAATTCATATTTAATATTATTTATTTTATATCAAAGGTTTATAAAAGAGATTTCTTACATTTTGTTACTTAAATTAAAAACAAAATTATTATTGACATAAAGATTAACAGTTTTATTCATAGAGCAAATACAAAAAGATAATGATATTCAAATATGTAGTTTAACTCAATAGATTTTTTGATCAGACAAGTTTTTATTGCTTTGAAAATTTATATAGGAATCTAAACATTCAAATGACTCAAAATTTCTTAATTAAGAAACAATAATTAATGGTCTCAGAATATTATGAAACTAAAATTGTAATAATAATTACTTCTTTAGAAAGAGGAGTTATTTATAGAGTGTTTTCGATTTCAATAACAAATCACCTAACTTATTAGAGTCAACTGCTATTTTAATGGATCAGAAATCTAGTTTTGAAGATCAAATAAATCTTAATCAACTTCAAAGAGTGTTGCTACTGTGACTATTGAAATTATATATTCAAGAAATATTCTCAATCTTCCATTAGAAATCTATTTTAGGAAGTATTGCTATCAGAAATTTTGCTTAAGAATATTCATATTTAAAGATTGTGATATTTCAATTTATTGAGTTAAATCTCAATTCCTCTCGCTATAATTTTAAATTAATTTACTGATTTTTTAAGTATGCAAAAAGGATAATTATAGATTTGTTATTTAATAAAATTTCAGTAACTCAATGGTATTTTATAACAATCCCAAAGAAAATTCTATATTTTTGCTTTTAAAAATTGAGAACCTGATATATATGTTGATACAACTGTGTAATTAAAATCATATCTTTTTAAGCTTTTATTGACATTTTCTTAACCCGATATTCAATATAACATACTTCATATCTAAGAATGAATTATAATTAAGGGTACACAACCTATCTTTTCAATTATCTCCCAAAGTAGGAAGAAAAAAAATATAGGACTATATCATGTTAATCACTTTCTTGTGAAAATAAAGACTTTTTGTACATTAAAAGAGTAGTTATTAAATACTACCATTAATACCAATCATCATACTTGTTATATTTTAAGTAACCTATAAAGTATTATCTTAAAGATTTAGATTAATCCATGTAAATGAAATTAAATTATTATGATCTATTAAAATTGCCTTTGATCTAGTTGATTATAATATTTACAAAAACTACAAAAAACTATATAGGTGTTTATTAATCCCAATGATAATATAATTTATTTTACATGATAAAATCGATAGCATAAGCTATAAAAATACAATCTATTTATAATTGTTGACTATTACTAGAAAGTTATTAAAAGAATCATTCTATTCTCAATGTATAACTGTTATACTATATTTTATGGATTAAAATGATACTCCATATTAAAGAAGAAAATTAGAGATAATAAATAATAAATTGGAAAATATTATGCTTCATGTAAGGTGAAAACCTAGATGTTTGGATATTATATTGCAATAAAGAATTAAAGACAGACAATTAATTAGAACTTTTGAAAATTTTTTGGTAGCTAACTCTAAAACATATAGTTTAAATTATATAGAGGTGATGCAATAAAAATTGATTATAAAAATGCATTTGGTGAGAAGTAAAAGCCTATAAGTTATAAGTGCTAATTAATTATCAATTATTTTTAGTTCTTTAATCTTGTTTCTGTCTAAGGAAGATTTAAAATGGAAAATTTGAAATTGGCAAATTAAAGTTGCTAATCAAAATGAAATTAAATTTAAAATATGGAATTCATTCTTTGCAACTCATTTTCTTTAGAAATATCAATTATTTTTTTTGTAATAAGTGGTGAAGGTATGTTGATAAGAATTAAGTAAATTTTAGATAGTGGAAAAATTTGCAAAAATAATTTTGTAAGAAAAGATATATAAAAATATTAGTAAAGTATTTATAAAATCTATTTAATTCTCATATATTAAGAGATATTTTAAATGTAATTAAAAATTACTAATTTAAAAAATATTTTTTGTTTTTCATTTCTGATTAGGAAAAAGATCTAATTAATTCTAAAAGTTCACAAATATTCAATTTTAGTACTCATACAAAAATATAAATAATAATTGAATATTCAATTTAATTTATTTTTTTCTTCCTGTATGTTAATAAAGCAGTTTCATTATAAATAAGATTTATTCAATTTTAATCTTTATATTAATTTGGTCATATATCTTTAATACTGTAAATAGATTCTTTAGTGGAATATCTGATTGAAAAATGCCCAGAATATTTGGAGAGGAGAGCACTTAACTTTTTTTATGCTATCCAACGACATTTATTTATTCAAAATAAATTTTTTGATGCTTTGTCTCGGTTGTCTTGGGTGATTCTATGTAATTGAGTTTTCAAGTACTATTTTTTTCCAAATATAAGAAAATGCAAATTGGAGTATGATCATAAAGTTAATATTATTAATAATTAAAGCTCTAAGTGAATTATATTTCTGATTCGTTAGGAAAGTTGTTATAAAGTCTATATTATAGTCCATAAACTTTCAATCTTTTAATGAGTATTTTTAGATAATAATTTAGATACTTGATTATTTGTTTTTTTTTATAATTGTAGATGCAATATTTTTTTAATCGATTTTTAGACCTCTGATAGTTAAATGCTTTAATATTCTGCTATTTTCTTTATAAATGCATTTAATACTAATTCGCCAAATATTTATTTTACAGCTTAGACATACTTCTATTTCAGTAACAATCATATATTTAATATGAGTTTTAGAATAAAAAGGGAGGCGATAACTCAAAATTCTGTATATAAGGTTTAAAAGTAAAACTACATTTATTGAATTAACAAAACAAAGGAATGTTATCATATTCTTAGTTAAGTAAACAAAGGGTACCTTTCTTTAAAAGGCTAATTGTCAAATTCTACATTTAATTCAATTGGATGGTTGTTAACTAAAGTAAAAATTATGAAATGATCTCATTTCATAAACAACATATATAAATCACTTTCATCTTTCCTCTTTTAGTTTCGAGATAGGATATCCACTCTAAAAAAATGAATTAGTCAAAAACATTTTTCGACCCAAATAATTTAGTAGCAAATTTTTTTCTAGAATAAATGTGTATTTATTCAACTGATATCAACTTTTTATTGTTAATAATTTCAATATCATCAAAGTTTATTGCCATCCATAATTTGAATCAACCCTAGAATTGCAAACCTAGTAATTAAAAACAATTTTGAATATCAATAAAAAAAAAGTAACGAATCAATAATTGAAAGTAAAACTACTTTTTCTCATATTAAAGTATAAAATTCCCTAGCTGTTCAAAAGTTAATAACTAATAATTGAAGGATTAACTTTAACATTTTTTGTAATAATTTTACAGAGAAATTACCAAAAAATAAACTGCTCTATTAAAAGAGATAATGGTATCAAACAACCAACTATTAATTCTATGGTAGAAAAAGAGAATATTTAACATTCGAATTGATATTATGCAAGCATCAGGATAATCATTAAAATAGAGCTAGTGAAGATTAAATCCATCTTCCACTAAGATCACTTTATTAAAAATTCAGAGAAAGGTTGAAGGTTTGGATGTGTGAAAGGGAGAGTAAAGACATAAAATTAAGTGCTCCACCAGAAAATTAATCTTTTAAAAATCCAATCTGGTCTAAATAATTCTGAATCAAATTCTATATGAGATGAAAAATATACCTTAATGAAATTTGAACTGTTGACCATTCTGAAAAATGAAATCGTTAACGTCTAAATTATGATTTTATTTTATAGGCCTAATTTATCAAATTTAGGATTATAAAGAGGAAGATAAATAGACTAGGAAAGAAAGAAAATAATTATTATTTGAGTTATTAGCATCAGTGTTTCTTAAATATTAGGCTAGTTTAAGTCATTATTTGAAGAAGCTGTACACAGCTTTTTGTGCTTTTAAAATTTATGATACTTCTATAAGCATATAATCAGGTTGGACCATTGACTCTGTATCTTTTCACTTATTCATGGTAAACACTAGCTACACTGCTAATCTTGTATAAACTAATCCCTTTTAGCATAGTTTGGACATGTCACTTTCTACCACTATTGTAAAGACTGTAACTACCAAAAATATATTCATTTTTTTAATTTAAATATCAAAAGTAAATTTGGCTTGTCAGTTACTTTATTCCCAAAAATTTTGATTAGCCTATCTCTCTGATAAAAGTAAGTTTGATCCTTTGATTTTTTATTAAATTTAGTGGAAATTGATAAGAATAGAGTCTACTAAAATTCATTAATAAATTATTTTTTATCCTTCAAAAATTGATAAATATTATTAAAAAATAAATTGTACGTTTATTAAAAAGATTACATTTTAATGAATTTAGGATATCTTTACCTAAAGATATTCTTACTTATTTTGTTTTATTGAACAACTTTTTATTAACATAATGAATTCATAATATATACCTATCTGATAGGAAAATAGAATAGTATTTCTACTTAAAGCATAATATGAGAATAACAATATCCACTTTGAAAAAGATAAAAATAATCGATATGAGAAAATAATGATTTTGTTAATCTAGATTAATAAAAAAAAATTATTGTGCATTATAAAGAATTTAGATATATAGTCTATCCTACATCTTCATTAGTGATCAAATATATTAGATGAAAAAGAATGATGAATATTCAGATATTCATTTTTTTATTATTAAGTAATTATCTAATTTAAGATTATCACTTAGTTAATTCTTAACAAAATATAAATTTAAGTTTATAAATTATAGCGATTTTTTAGTAATTATTAAGATTAAATTCTTAAAATATTAAGATTCCAATCTTTGATAACATTACTACATAATCTTCCAAATTAGTTAAATAATTTGAATTCTTTGATTGTGGGATTTCTAAAGAGAGTTAAAAAGATCTCACTTAACGTATTAATCTTTATTGTACATATTATTTCTGGTTGCTCTAATAATTATATTTTTCAAGGATTATAAAGCCAAAGATTAAAATATGAACTTTATGAAATGATTTAATTTAGAAAAATTTAGAATTGATTTAAAATATTGTTTTTTTATTTATTTAGGTAATTGATATTTGTATTATTTTATTTATTTTTGATAAACTCTCCTCCTCTTAATTAATTATTCTTGATACTAAAAAACTTGCCACAGTCTGTAAAGTGTTAATTAACTTAAATCTAAAAACTCTGAGGTTCAATAGTATCTCCATTGGTTATTCAATTAATATGTTATCCAATAATAAAGATACCCAGCATATCAACAACTGTTTTTTTGTATAAATGTAAGATATTTTTCTCTATATTAGACATCAGAATCCTATTTCTATATTCTTAAACTGTCACTAGGTTCTCGTTATTCGACAGAGAATTCCTCAAGAGAGTTTAATCAAATCATAATACTATTTCTTATCTAACTCATACTTAAGTCAACTTTCTGTGGAGTTTGTTAATCGATAGTTTGATAATTTATTAATTAAATTTATTTTTCTTCAACTTTTTAGATACCTTATCAATCATACTCCCCAAAAGAACAATCGTAGTTTTTCCAAAAGGTTTAAGCTATTTTATAGGGCCAGTTAACTTAACTAACTAGGAGAATATAAATAGAGCCTTATAAATTCTTTTAAGTCAGTTAAAGATGATCTAAATAAATTTACATCAATTTAATTTTAATTGCATTCCATAAATGAAGGATCCATGCGTATCTACCTTATTCATATTAGAGTCAAGTAAATTATTCTTTATTAGGTCGTAAGATGTGTTACCCTGAGGAATTTTTTTTGAAGTACATCTCTATGTTTTACTGTTATCCTTTTCCTAATATGAGTGTGAATATTTTTTTGATTTGGCCAGAAAGTTTTTAATTTTTCGTATCAATTGTATGATCAACAATTATTGGTTTCCCCATGAAAATTAAGTTTTCAAGAATTGAGGAATATTTTTTAACCCCTTTAGAATTCAGGGCCAAGCAGATAGACAATCTCTAGTCCTGTGTTCTATCCTCTTCTTTGATGGAGATAGAAACTTTGAAATTATCTCAATTCCAAATTCTTAGTTATCCTCATTGATCTTAAAGATTTGTCTGAATTCTCCAACTAAGTGATTAATGGTAAACAATTAGTTAAATGAACCAGGACAGATCCTTACCTTTAGGGCTCTTGGATCTCAGTTTATACGCTAATTTTTTAGAATTATGCCTCCATAATTTCTTAGAATTCTAGAATGGCTTCATAATAATAAAAGTAATTGAGATTTATTTTTAATCTGTAAATTGTTGAACAAAGATATTTCTTAATTTAGGATCAATTCTTTCTTTATCTGAAAAATGAAAAAGGATTATATTTACCATCACCTGATTTTTTTTGTGTTTTTTGATTTAATATACTATTTAGCTGAAATCAGTCTTTTAATTTATTGTTTTTATGTATTTTAATTTTCCTTTGATGCCCTCATCAATTTTAATTTCATCTACATTAAATGGAAACCCTAATTATTGTAAGTAATCATTAAATACGAGTAATTACAAAATAAAATTTTATTCATTATCATAACAAGTGCGTTATTAGAATCATTAATAAATTGTTTATATGATAAGTCTTACCTTTTTAATAGAATATCATGTATTGATGTTATTGATTATTCAAAAGAGAATATTTTAAAATCCTAAATTTTGTTTCAAATTTCATGATGAAAAGTCAGCTAAGATAGAAAAATATATTGTATCTTTGTTTTTTAAATTCAAAAGTTTATTAAATCAACACAGTTTGAGATAAAATGGAAATGTATAATTAATTTAAAAAAAGATTGATAATGCTTTTTATTTATGTTTATCTTCAACATTTTATCTAATTTTCTAATTCAAATAAAGCAATCTTTGACATTATTTTCTGTTTTGATTTGCCAATCTCAATTGATAGTATATCTAATAGTAATTTATAAATGATTTCTTAAGTTGGGAAAATAATCAAATTATTCCAATATTAAGAATCAAAAATCAATAACTCATTTTTGTATTAATGGCTGAATACATCAATTTATCACCTAACAATATTATCGAGTCACAATATTTTAGGAATTGAATCTGTATTTTAAATATCTAGAAGCTGTATTCAGCTATTCTTCGATTAAAAAAATGCTATTTTCTTGCCTTTATTCCATATTCAAGATATAATAATTCGTAAATCAAAGAAGAGAACATTATATATCATTGTACTGAAGGCAAATTATTAAAATTATAATTACCTATTCAATTTAATCGATTGCCCCAGATTACCAAATTTAAGTTCGAAACCAATTTATCTTCTTAGAAAGTATCAGATGGAATTTTAATTATTGTAGATTATTTGGAAGGAATTAGTACATCAACATATATAAGCCTTATTAAGAATGTCTATGAAAGAGAAAGTCAAACCTGTGTTAATGGAGAATAAATTAGATAGAGCTATTTTTAAATTATAATAGGATAGTGAAACCTATTCATAATTAATATCTATGATTGTATCTATATAATATTATTAAATAATAATTTTGCTTAATCAATCAGGGATTGTAATCCGAATGGATCTTAGGAAATGTTTATATATAAATAATTTAAATTGAAAGGGAGAATTTCTTTCTATTCTGGAGATTAAAATAATTGGATTTAATTTTAACCCATGTTCAAAGAAGATATATTTATGAAATAAATTGGAAAGATAGAATAGTTGAATATATTGAATAAAGAATTTATTGTGAAAATGAAATTGGATTAGTTTGAGATTGTAATGGTTTAAAAAATAAAGTATACATAAATTAAAATAAATTTAATGATGCAATATTTGATCATCCTGAGTTTCATTTGATTAGTTCGATTAAAAGTTCTGTTTCTCCAGTTGTTAAAGCTGCTATTACACCAAAAATCCTAATGAATTAACTAATATAATAGAAGGATTGAGAAGATTAACTGAAACAAACAAACTAATAGAACCTTCAATTGAAGATTCAGGTTAAAATTTTATATATGTATGCAGAGAAATACATTTATAAATTACCTAAAATGAACTTGAGAACAATCTAAATTTTAGTTAATTTGATAAAACTGATCCAATTGATGTCTACAAGAAAACTGTTACTGATCCTTCTTAAGTTGTTTTTTTGGCCAAATCTGAAATTAACATAATAGATTATACTTAAGCTATTCCTCTTGATGAAAATCCCCAAATCACTATTGGAAAAGGTTTAATCAAAATAATCCAATATATTAACATATGAATATGATTGGAATAAGGCTCTGAAATATGGAAATTTGGACAAAATGATAATAGCCTTACAATTCTATGTAATAAAACCACAGCATTTCAATACTTAAATCATATCAGAGAATCATTGTTGTTTTTTGATAAATTTCAACAAAGGAAAGAGCTATTTGTTTAGAAAAAATGACAGATGTTAGAGTAAATATCTTGGATTTTGTTTTGAGTGCAGAAACATATAGAAGAATGTTCAATTACGCCTAGACAATATTCTGCTTATGGGTTAACTGGATAGCCTAGATTATAAGAACCAATCTTATTGACTGAAGTTACTGTTTCAAACTAAGTTACAACTGCTGTTTACACATGATTTATATATATATTAATAATAGATTAAATTTATTTTTTTAAAGATTAAGATGAACTATTCCTAAAATTAGTACGTGAAAGATCAGAAATTTAATTTAAATGGAATCTAAAGTTTTAGTCTTTTGGAAAGGAATTAACAAAATTAAGTTTTAATAAATAATTTTAATTTATAGGTTATACTTTAATTAATTTATTGAAATTAATTAAAATATCATTTGATATTTTGTTCAATCATATCAGAATTTTAATCAAACTTAAGTTTTCTTTGATCTATTCATTATGAATTACCTTGCTTTTCAATTCATTTAATAGTGAATGTCTAAAAACCATTAAATTGAATATTTTGAATAAATTATGATTAATAAATATCTAAATAATAATTTGAACAAATTTAATGTTTTCTTTTTAAGTTTCTAAATTAATAGATTCTATAGATTTCAGAAGATAATTAGGATACCTATAGAGCAAAAATGTCTGTAGAAGAAGCTAAATACTTTGCCATTTAATAATTAATTATGTTGAGGTATCAAGGCAAATGATATCTCAAATATGAGTCATGATTCCCATAATAAATATTTCAAAACATAAACGATTAGAAATTTCATATTGTACATTCTCTTAAATTAGAATACAAAACAGATAAACAAAATTTCCTCATTAAGGAAATTCTACCTTTAACCACTTAATCAGCTCTGCCAAAGGATTTGAATAAGATAATAACTATAACTATCAAAATTATAAGAAAAATTTGATATCGAATTAATTATTTAATGAAAATGAATTATCCATTATTAATTAATGAATTCATATTTATTTAGAAATGAGAAATTTTCTTAATTATTAAATACTATACTACTATCGTTTTAATAGAATTTAAGAATGTTAAGGCTTGTTCACTTCAAAAATAGTGTCATATAGCTTATTGAAATATTCAAACTCTTATGTTTTCTAATTCAATTAGCTTAATTTAATAAATACTTCTGAACATCTTGCTAAGAATATTCAATACTTTCTTTATTCTTGATTTTTTTCATTCTTATATTCTAAAATATTTAAGTTAAATATGTATTATCTAATTTAATAATCTAAGGTTCTTCTTGACTAAAAAATAAAGCAATTGTTTTCCATATTTGTTTTTAACTTAATATGTTAATATGTAAATAAAAGAGGAGTGATTATATTTTCTTTTTAAAATGGATCAACATCCCCAAAAAAATCTTATAATGATATTTAAATAGTAGAATCTTGAAATCAAAACTTATTATATCGAACTTATATTTGAAGCGATTGAATAACTCATCCATAAAATTATTACATAAAAAAAGTAAATAAGTGGAATACTTCCTAAATTCAAGATTACTATCCCTATTCCATCAATTTCCCTTAATGTAGTGGATTGATGATATTTAATAGAATAATTGGTACATTTAAAATATCTATTTTTGAGTTGCATCCCATAATATGTTCAATTATAGCATAAACGAATTCATTTTAATATATTGCTATTAAAATCTCATGCTTAATGTATTTTTGATTTTATAATTTAAATTAAGAATTATTCATTCATTTTTAAATTTTTTTTATCTAAATATGAATTTATTATTCTTGCATAAGATATTCATAAGCTTAACGTAGAAACATCTCATCAGAAGGATGTTTTAAGAGTAAAATTATTTTTCAAGACATTATTGAATTTTAATCTTTCAATAAAACATAAGAGTGTTTTTGTTAAATTAAAAATGATATTATCATTAAGCGAATAATGAATGGTTGTTTTAATTAATTTAGAGCTTCTTGATTATCATTTCTATTAATGTAAAGAATTTGATAATTAGATGAAAAAATTATATAAAAATTAAGTAAGAATTTTTATATTATTATTATTGATTCCTATTAAGGAAGAACACAAATTGTACTCATTTAATCTCTTGCAGAGTTAACTCCTTGATTTCTTTCTCTATTATTCCTCTTAACTATATTCAGACATTGATTCCCTTTAGCATTTACAAGTACTAATCCATTTTTGCATCCAAGTTTTATTCCACAAAGTGACTATCACTCATTGCTACTTTGTGATTAATACAGATTTTTCCTTATAGCAGTACAGTTCCGTATATTCCTAAGACATTATTATAATTCTATTCAGTCATAAGTATTGAAATCACTTCATTAGGGGTGAACTTTGGCATAACAATTATTCTCTTGAATTTTTTTTATATTTTAGAAAATAAATTATTGATTAACTCAACCAGACAGTTCGTTATATTAATCATTTTATTTTGGAATATCAATGGATGTACTCTATTTACCCTTAATTAATAAATCAGAAATTACAAATCAACATTACTTTATGTAACAACAAAAATACTTTTCTTTTAATATTGAAGCGTGAACTCAAATTTTTTTTGGAAATAATCTTTATCGATATTCAAATTAAGTCAATTATATAAATAATTATAGCCTAAAATAAATTATGAGTTGATAGTTTGTTTTGCTAAATACATAGGAATCAAGATTTAGATCTTATTTTAGCAAAGTTGTCCAAATATCTAGTTAAATTAATTGAGATTAGGCAATTAAGAGTAAAAAATAAAGCATCTTAAACTAGTATTAAGGAAGTTCTAGTTNGCTATTAAAATCTCATGCTTAATGTATTTTTGATTTTATAATTTAAATTAAGAATTATTCATTCATTTTTAAATTTTTTTTATCTAAATATGAATTTATTATTCTTGCATAAGATATTCATAAGCTTAACGTAGAAACATCTCATCAGAAGGATGTTTTAAGAGTAAAATTATTTTTCAAGACATTATTGAATTTTAATCTTTCAATAAAACATAAGAGTGTTTTTGTTAAATTAAAAATGATATTATCATTAAGCGAATAATGAATGGTTGTTTTAATTAATTTAGAGCTTCTTGATTATCATTTCTATTAATGTAAAGAATTTGATAATTAGATGAAAAAATTATATAAAAATTAAGTAAGAATTTTTATATTATTATTATTGATTCCTATTAAGGAAGAACACAAATTGTACTCATTTAATCTCTTGCAGAGTTAACTCCTTGATTTCTTTCTCTATTATTCCTCTTAACTATATTCAGACATTGATTCCCTTTAGCATTTACAAGTACTAATCCATTTTTGCATCCAAGTTTTATTCCACAAAGTGACTATCACTCATTGCTACTTTGTGATTAATACAGATTTTTCCTTATAGCAGTACAGTTCCGTATATTCCTAAGACATTATTATAATTCTATTCAGTCATAAGTATTGAAATCACTTCATTAGGGGTGAACTTTGGCATAACAATTATTCTCTTGAATTTTTTTTATATTTTAGAAAATAAATTATTGATTAACTCAACCAGACAGTTCGTTATATTAATCATTTTATTTTGGAATATCAATGGATGTACTCTATTTACCCTTAATTAATAAATCAGAAATTACAAATCAACATTACTTTATGTAACAACAAAAATACTTTTCTTTTAATATTGAAGCGTGAACTCAAATTTTTTTTGGAAATAATCTTTATCGATATTCAAATTAAGTCAATTATATAAATAATTATAGCCTAAAATAAATTATGAGTTGATAGTTTGTTTTGCTAAATACATAGGAATCAAGATTTAGATCTTATTTTAGCAAAGTTGTCCAAATATCTAGTTAAATTAATTGAGATTAGGCAATTAAGAGTAAAAAATAAAGCATCTTAAACTAGTATTAAGGAAGTTCTAGTTTTGTGGTCTAATGTTCTGATAAGAAAACAGATTTATAGATTAGAAATTTAATCAGCAATTCAAATTATTTATAATATTGTTAAGATAGAAAATATAGAAGAGATTACTAATTATTTTGTATTTTTGTAATTGATTCATCAAGATTTTTAACTTTATAAATTTTAAACTCTATCTTTCTTGTTAAATATTTTTTTTTTCATATCATGAGGGTTGACATATTTGCCACTAAATTTGATTAATAAGATAAATATAATTGGTTGATATCTGCAGAAATAGAAACATACAACATAAAGCTAAATTTTGAAATAACTAAATCAACTATCATGAATTTTATTAAAACAACTAATCTATTACATAATAAAAACAAAAAGACCATCAGCTGAAAAATTTCGAATATGTATGTTTCACCTTTAATGCCCTACCTTTAAATTTAAATAACTAACTTTCCCAAATTACATTTGCTATTATTGTATTCATTAGAATATTATTATTTCTAAAAATATTCATCTATCTTAAATTAGTTGTACACCAGTCATTTATATCTTGACAGAGAGTTTGAAATTATTTCTATTGCCTTCTACTCCTTCTTGGTTTCTTTGGAATCGGCAAACAAGATGGACAGGCCAAGCATGGAGGGAACAAAAATCGTGAGAAAGTAAACATTCATCTCGCTACTCTGTTTGGCTGACAGATGAAAATTTTTCATTAACTACAGCTTATCTGGTTGATATAGGGAGTAGATGTATTTTAATTAAATTGGAGTTTTATCTCTGGCATAGAGCTATTGAAACCATACCCTCATCATATAGGCTTCGGATATATTTAAAAAATTGAGTTTGTGTAATTTTTGGTTTAATTGATAATCCATAATACGTTGTTTTAATACTCATTTTTAGAAATGGAAAGCCATATGAATTTCCACCTATATCCCTATTTTGATTGAACCAAGCGCCTTCACATATTTAAACATTCCTCCACAACTATGATTAACTTCTTATTAATTACATCTTTTCTTTGTCTTTTGAAATGTACATCTTTTTAATTATTTTTATATTCCCTTTCGTAAATTAGTTCCCTATGTGGATATTGATATAAATTAAGGAGAGTTTTAATCCTTGTTATTAATTAAATGTATAGAAATTGAGGTTAGCATACACCTAGCTTTAAATTTTGAGATTGAGTTTTACCATCACCAAAACATATTAAGAAATCAACTTTCAAAATATGAATCTGATAATTTTCTCCATTCATTTAATAAGATTATTAAGATTATTTTATTTGATATGATTAAATAGGATTTTCTAATGATTAATTATCAGATTTTCTTTTAATAAAGGCTTTCCTAAAAATAAATTTCCAAATGTTAATATTAAGTGTAGAGAAAAACCATCTTTTCAATTAATTTTGATTTAAAAATTATGCTGATTTTTGTAACTTAATCGTCATCAGTTTTTTCTTTAGGCAAATCCTTATTAAGTTGAAAAATTATACAAAATATTTCTCATCAAAAATAATCGTTGATTTTAATATATATCAAGGATTTTTAATTTTGAAATCATCATATAAATAATAAAATATAAATTTGATCAATTTTGTCAGTATTTGAATGGATTTTAATAAAAAACCATTTAATTATATTGAATTTATCATAGAGAATATTATTTTAATTCGTATATTGAGTGAAAATAGATAAATATCTATTTTATACCCTAATTTTTCTAATCAATATTAATCTTATTGTGTTTGTTTCTTGTATTCAAATAATAACTACGTATTATCCATCCTTTTATTATATAAAATGCTGAAGTTAATGTGCATAGATAATACGAAAAAAATGTATCTGTCTTGAAGTTAAACTACATAGAAAACTGAAAATGAATGTTTCTGAAAAGATAGGCATAAGTTAGAATTCAGATTGAAATTTACTTTCAATATGAAACCTGCTGAACTCTTTTCTTTTATACTCAAATGTTTATATATTTTAAATTTAAAAATACAAAGTAATTTTTGAGTATTTACTAATATTTATTTTAGATTTGAGCAAATTATTACTAATATTGGGAAGTATTTTTAAATGCTTGTTGATTTAAATCTTTATTTGAACATAATATCGTTTATATTTATGTAGTGATTTACCTTTTTAAATTCCTGAATCGCCTTCATATCAATATCTTTTTCTAAATAAAGCGTTTTATTTATAATTAATTTAGAATAGTCTTTTTAATAATTTTAAGCTCATTTTATATATATATTCTTTAGTTAT